TCAAGCTAGAGCCTACATGGGACTTTATCCCTTTGCTCTAGTGTCTTTGGTGCCAGAAGGTACTCTACAGTCTACCAAAAGAGAAACATTGACATCAGCCCAGCCACAAAACCTTTAACCTACAAGATGTCCTGCCTGCAAGATATGCTAGGGCAGTGGTACCACAGAATTTGTAGGAGTAACAAACCAACGCCTGATTTAACTTAAGGCCCATTCTAGGAGATAGAACCCATACCTCATACTGTTTGAGTGACCAAGAATTAAAGATGAAATAGCCCAGGGAACTAGGGTAAAACCAAACACTACTGGTCAAAATAAAATGATTCCTAATGATATTCTGCTATACTCACAGATCGGTGCTTTATTCAGCCATCATCAGAAAAGCTTCTTCCTGCAGCAGAGGGGAACAAATACTGAGACCCATAGCCAGACATTTGCATAGAGTGAGATTTTGGAACACACAGCTCAAATGAGATATCTCCATCAAATCCCTCCCCTCGGATCTCAGGGAGCCCCACAGAAGAGGAGGCAGAAAGATTGTAAGAGTCCGAGGGTATGGAGGACACCAGGAGAACAAGTCTCTCTAAATCAACTGAGCAAGGCTCATGTGAACTCACAGAGCAGTAAGAACAGAGCCTTCATGGGTCTGGGCCAAGCCCTCTACATACATATTATAGCTTTCAGCTTAGTATTTTTATGGGCGTGTGAACAATTGGGTCTCTGATTCATGTATCTGCTTTTAGACCTCTTTTCCTTTTATTAGAATGCCTTGTCCTAGCCTTGATATGATGGTTTTTGTTTTGTTTTATTATATTTTATTTTGTCAAAAAAATCAGGCACAAAACATACACAAAATCTAAGACACTACAAAAAGACCAAACCAATGAGTAATAAGTATAGAGGAAGGAGAAGAAACCCAGGTCAAAGACACAGGAAATATTTTTAACAAAACCATAGAATAACCCCTAAAGAAAGAGACACCTATCAAGGTAAAGACACAGACAGAACAAATAAGATCAGTAAGGCCAGGAGACTTCTACATGACACACAATAATCACAACACTAAAGGTGCACAACAAAGGATAATAAAAACTGCAAGGGAAAAAGACCAAAATCACACATAAAGTCAACCCTGTTGAAATAAAACTTTTCAGTGAAGACTCTGAAAGCCTGGGCAGATGTTCTACAATCTCTGGAAGACCACAGATGCTAGCACAGATGACCATACCTAGCAAAGCCATCAATCACAATCAGTGGAGGAAGAAAAAGACTTTACGATGAATACAAATTGAAGCTACTTCTCTCCATGAGTCCAGGTGTGCAGAAGGTACTAGAAGAAAACCAGTCTGAAAAGAAGGTTAACTACAACCATGAGGATTCAAGATACAAAAAAATCTTAGGGCAGTTTATAAAAGAGGGGGACACCACATAAGCAAAATAACAGGAATTTATAGACACTTGTCAATAATGAATCTCAATATGAATGTTCTCAATTCCCCCAGTAAAAAGACAGCCTGACACATTGGATTCAAAAATAGAATTTATCTTTCTGCACATTGAAAAAACATACCTCACCATCATGAACAGATACCATCTTATAATAAAAGGATATAAAAAGATATTCCAAACAATATTGGACACAAGAAGCAGGCACACATAGTGTCTTTCTTAGTTAGGGTTTACTATTGCTGTGAAGAGACACCGTGACCATAGCAACTCTTACAAAGAAAACATTAAATTGAGGTTTGCTCACTTACAGTTTCAGAGGTTCATTGTGATCATGAAGGGGAGCATCACAGCACACAAGCAGACGTGGTGCTGGAGCTGAGATTGCTATATCTTGTAGGCAACAGGGAGTCAGCTGACTCACTGGGGGTTATCCTGAGCATATGAAACCTCAAAGCCCACCTCCACGGTGACACACTTCCTCCAACAAGGCCACACCTCCTAATAATACCACTTTTTTTTGGGGGGGGGGCTATTTTTTTTTTAAACCACCACACAGAGCTTTTAAAATATCTGACAAGATAGACTTTAAACAAAAACTAATAGAGGTAGGGAAAAATACTACATACTTAATGAAGGAAAAATCCAATAAGTGGTAATTACAATTCTAATCATTTATTCCCCAAACACAAGGGCACCCAAGTTCATAAAAGAAACACTACTACACTTAAAATCACAATTATAGTGGAAGACTTCGATACCAGACTCTGCCAATAGATAGGTCATCCAGACAAAAATTAAACAGAGAAATGCTGAAATAAAATAACATCATAAATCAAATGGGAAGAACAGACATCTAGAACATTCCACCACTAAAGAAATATAGTTTCTTCTCAGTAGTACATGAAACTTTCTCCAAAATTTACCACATATTAAGACACAAACCAAGACTCAACAGATATTAAAAAAAAACCTGAAATAACACCCTTTATTCAACTTGACCACATGGATTAAAGCTGAATATCAACAAAAATAGAAATGGTAGCAAGTGTACAACTCATGGAAACTAAACAAGTCACAACTGAATGAAAATTAGGTAAAACAGAAATCAAGAAGGAAATTTAAAACTCTTAAAAACTGAATGAAAATGAAAACACAAAAATTCAGATCTATAGAACACAATGAGGACAGCTCAAAGAGGCAAATTCATAGCACCAAGTGCATACATTAAAAAAACCTGGAGAGATCTCATGTTAAAAACTTAATGACATGTTTGAAAGCTACAGAAAAATAGCAATAAATAGTATCCAAAAAGAGTAAGTAGGAAAAAATAATCAAATTCAAGGTTGAAATTAATGAAATATACAAAAAATTATAGAACTCAGAACCACCAGCCCAAAGATGGCATCACCCACAATGGTTTGGGCTCTTCCCCATCAATCACTAATTAAGAAAATACCCTACAGGCTTGTACACAGTCTGATCTTATGTAGGCATTTTCTTAACTGAGATTCCCTCCTCTCCGATGACTTTAGCTTGTATCAATAAAACTATCCAGCATAACCAGTGAGTTCATTAGCTTAATTAAGGGCAATGGATGACGAGTGTCAGTGACCTTAAAGCAGCCACATTGAAAGATCTGTACCTGGCATAGGTGGTGATGATCCATGGCTTTGTAGACGGAGTCCTCTCCCCTAGTCTTTTCCTTCTCTGAGGCCAAATGCAGTTAGATCAGAATTGCATACAATTGGTGTGGGGCCTGGCTACTCACATGAGGGTTCCATGAGTTCCCCCCTTCCTTCTATGAGGACCATCAACACTCAACAATCGGAGCTGGGGCAATCTTTTCCAAGAGGGCATGGCTAAACTCATGAAGATGATGGCAGTTTGGCTCAGAGGCTAGTTTTGTATAACACAAATTTGTCTCCAAAAGATAGTATTCTCCTCTGTACATGTTCTAAAACAGCTCTTCTCAACCTATTGATTAAGACCCCCTTGGGGTCACATATCAGATATCCTGCATATAGGTTATTTACATTATGATTCATAACAGTAGTAAAGTTATAGTTATGAAGTAGAAATAAAATAATTTTATGGTTGGGGTCACTACGAGAACTATATTAAAGGGTTGTGGCCTTAGGAAGGTTGAGAACTACTGTTCTAAAGTAACCAACCAGAAAAATATAACAGAAAGAAATTAGATAGCATTGTAATTATTTAATTGTGTATGATCATTTGCTTATTCTCTAGCTCAATGGTCCTCAACTAGGAACAATTTTGCTATTCAGAGGACATCTGGCAACATCTGGAGACCTTTCTGATCATCACAACAGGGGGTTGCTACTGGCATCGAATGGGTAGAAGACAGAAATCTGACTAAGTTTTTTACAGTCCCCACTACAACCCCTCCAAATTGTTAGGTCTAAAATACCAGCAGTGTGACAGAAAAGCTCTGGCTTTCTCACAAAAGTGACCCTGTTTAGTTTATGTCTTCACAGCCAAAACCACCAGAGCACCTAGCACAACAGAGGTTTCTGAAAAAGGTTGTTGTAAAAATCAATGAAACTGTCTCTCGCTACACACTGAAGACAGAGTCATGCAGGCATGGATGCAGACATCGTTCACATGCAGACGCACTCACCTGTGGAAACATTCTCTTCTGTTATCATTCCCCATCGAGTCTGGTTGCCCTTGTTCTCATTTGGACCTAGATATACACTGTGTTTTGAAAGAAGTTTCCCTAGAAAAACTTACAGATTCCAGAAAGTTCTCTAGAAAACAAAATATGAAGTGTGGTCTAGGATGAAGCAAGATAGACGATAAAGACTTACAAATTGTGTACTTCAGAACAGTCTCCATAACATAAATCAAGTGGAAATCTGATGCTAAATCTGACATGACATTTGATAATATTGTATAAAGATAGAGAACTATATCTTTTATATACTACCTAAAACTATAATATACGTATATACGCTGTGGATATATATGGGTAACTCTCTATCCTTCTTACAATGTATTATAGTTTGTAGAAACCTATAACAGTTGCTTACAACTCCAGTAGGTAGGTGTTAACATGAAGGGTCATTGCCAGCTCTCTCTGTCTGTCTCTATCTCACACTTGTTGAAATGCTGTCTAAAAAATATAACTGTTCTCATTCTGATATCTAAACTTTATCTGAGATCTTAATGGCCTCTATGACCTACTTGATCTACTTTCAAATCAAGGCAGATAGAATTTGGATGACAAGGACAATGTGCAAAGAAGATTAATAAATGCCACTCAAATTACTTGTATAATCTGGACAAATTGTTTAAGTCTGCAGACTGTATTTCTCTCATTTATAAATTATGTGAATTAATGAATAACTTTGTGGCCCTTTCACCTACAATTTGATGACTCAATGATTGAAAAAGACAGAAATTGTAAGCTCTAATGAGGTGACATTTTGAGCTTTGCCAAATTGCCAAGTTTTTCTAGATGGTTTTCTGTTATTACAGCACAAGGCAACAGCTTCGCTTGATACTACCAACAGGTGTGTAATTAAGCCTGATCTTTCTCCAACATAGTTCATTTTCCACTGATGGGTCTACAATTAAAACAACTCCCTCCCCAGAGAAGGATACATCAGTGTTACACTTTTCATCTTTAATTACACTGGTTGAAGATGAGTAAATGCACCAGAGATCCCAATTGGGAGGGAGTAGATTCATTAGGTGGTTGGGAATATGCCATCCAGTCTGCACTTCAGTTTGCTGTCTCTGCCCGACAACGATGGTCTTCCACACATATCTGCTCCAATATCCTGATGATGAAGTCCATCCTCCACTACCTATGCGTGGGAAATGTAATTGAGGAATATTAAAGATCTGTACCTCTCAGGAAGATAAGTAGAGTGTCAAAGCCAAAGCTAATTTAGCACTTCAGTGCTTTTTGGGAGAAAGGCCAAAATAGCCTGTTAATACTTTATAGAAGAAAAGAGAGTTTCCAAATTTTCATTTCATCACTTCTCATTAGATCTCTGTTGTACTCCTCTCTCTCTCTCTCTCTCTCTCTCTCTCTCTCTCTCTCTCTCTCTCTCTCTCTCATATATATATGAAATATATATATTTGAAATATATATATATGAAAAGAATATATATTCTTTTCACTAAGAATCTCACTCTTTCTGGGTTTCTTGTACATTGGCTGGCTTCCCTTTGTTGAATTTCAGCTCCATATGTGAGGGAATATCTCTTTTAAAAAAAAAAATGTGACCACATGCAGCACAGGGTCTGGGTGGCGTTTGGCACCTACTAAATAAATATTTGATAAGTGAGTGAATAAATACATATTCATAATATTCCTTTTGAGTATACCTGCTAATGGAGATTTGAGGGTCTGAAGTAGCCAATGTTGCTTACCTAGAATTGGGTTTTCTCTGATATTAGTATTTTTGTAAACTCCTGTTTTTAGTCATTTGATTGCAGCCAGTTCCAAGAGCTCTAGTTAAGACATAGCTTTTTTAATCTAGGGCTGAGCCTAGGAATGTTATCCTTCCTCTGCAAGTCAGGTCTCAGCCACCCTCTCTAGGCTCAGTCTAGGGACACCCATTTTGACTTCTGCCTGAGAACAATGGCAGAAGTCAAAATGGGTGTCCCTAGACCCAGTTTTCCTGTGCCCTAAGCAGCCTCTGAGCTCTGACAGGGAAATTGGCCTTTTTTCTGGCAGGGAAGCATCACAGAAGTTTTTTGAGAAGACTTAGAAACATTCTTTCCTGTGGATGGGTCTCACATTATACTAGCTCCCCACTGATCTGTCTGGGCAGACCACCTTGACTCTGGGACAGAAAATTGGGATTTTCTAAGCTTGAAAGGTATTTAGCAGAGGAGCATTTTTCTTCTACCTCTGCTTTCTCCATGTAGTAGGACATTTGGGAAGTTACAACATGTTGTCCCCTGAATCCAGAATCTCTCTATTTTTCTCCCTAGTCTCTTCCTGCTTTAGTGTCCCACTACAGCCTCCGTAGCACAGAACCTGAGCATCACGACTCTTCACGTGGCATATTAATTATCTGCTACACTCTTGTTTGGCACCCTTCCATGTACACAGTCTAGAACAATATTTAAAAGTGTGGTTTTCTTTTAACTGATAAAAATGGTTTTTACTGTTCTCCACTTAACTCTAGAAAACCTGTTGGTTCTATCCATTGGGATCATCCACCTGTAACCCCAAATTCTGGAATTCCTTGACTATCAGTTAAAGACATGTCTGTTGTGACAAGCAAAGAATTGCCTTAATGGTTCACATAACTGAAGTGGAAGAACTTGATAACCTTAAAGCTATGGTGGCCTTAAGTGTACCAACGTGGTACTCAACAGTTCAGGTCTACATCCTTCCAAATTCACATATGTTGGGAAAATCTAGTGAGCTTCAGGCTATTCAATTAAAAGGGTGGAATTTAGGATTAGCTTTCTTGCCCTGACTTGGATCATCTCCCATCCCTCAATTAACTAGACAGGTAGGAAAATAACCAGACTTGGACTGCATCTAGCTGGACTGCTCAGGCCACAGCCCACCCTACTGGAAGCAAGTAGGTAAAGATATTAGAAGGAACTGGTTCTGCAAGAAAACATGAAGCATAATTACCAAAATGGCAGAAAAGTAACTAAACCTTGGAAAACCAAAATCGCAGGAACCCCTGAATCACAGTGCCTTTCAGGAGGTGATTTTCCTTCTCAAGAGACGTGTCCAAAACACTTGCGCCCTGTGTTTCATTGTCAGAGTTGGGGACGATGTTGGCGGCATTTGATGGCCACAGGTGCAATACATCTCCAAAAAAGCAACACACTGCCTTCTTAACTCGGAAGAATAGTAGTTTCTGTATATAGTCATTACTCCACAATAATTCTTAAATATAATCGATATCCATCTGATAAATCAACTATCACATTTTGGGTTCCTTGTCCCCCTGACTTCTCTTCAACATTGAAATTTTTGACTCTTTAATTGATAGACCGTGTGTGTGTGTGTGTGTGTGTGTGTGTGTGTGTGTGTGTGTGCTCAAGTGTGCCATAGCTCATATATGGAGATCAGAGGACAATTTGTGGGAGCCATTTATCTCCTCCACCACATAAGTTCTAAATCAAACTCAAATAATTAGACATGGCAACAAGCTCCTTTACCTAATGAGCTTTTTCACTGGTCCTTGACTATTTTTACGTGGAATTCTGTTATTTCTTGTTGTCTGATAACTCTGTATTTCATTGCACATTTTATCTGACTTCTTAGCTCATTAGCTCATTGGGTTTTTTAAAACCTAAATTGTATGATTGTGTGTGTGTGTGAGCATTCTATATGTTCCTATGGAATATACCAATAGAAAAATCTCACTATGACAAGTCAAATTAATATGTCCATCTTTTCACATAGTTATGTGAGTGAGTGTGTGTATGTGTATAAAATAAAAGCTGACAAAATCTACCCATTTAGCAAGAATCTGAAATACAAGCCATATTTGGTAGTCATGTCTATAATCTTAGCATTCAGGAGGTAGAGGCAAGAAGGTTGCAAAATCAAAAACAGCCTGGCCTACAAAGTACATTCCAGGCCTACCAGGGATATAGCAAAATGAAATGGAAAGGGAAGGGAAGGGAAGGCAGGGGAGAGGAGGGAAGGGAAGGGAGTACAACATAAATGATTCCCTGTAGTTACCACACTGTTCCTTACAACTCCAGCCTTGTTTTTTCTATATATCTGATACTTTGTGCCCTCTGTCATATGCCTCCTGACTTTGTCCCCAAGCCCTTTCCCCTGGTAACCACAGTTCAGTTCTCTGTTTCAATTTATTTTATTTTTATCTTCCTCCACACATATGTGAGAGCACTCAGCACCTATCTGTCTGGATCTGGCTTGTTTCGCTTAGCATAAAATAGGCTCATCATCATGGAAAATAGCAAAATCTTATTCAGCTTTAGAGATGAGCACTGTCCTGAGTGTGTATATGTCAGATTTTATCGATCATCAGCAAACATTCCAGTTGCTTCTGTGTCTTGGCTATGACGAATATCACTGTCATGAAGATGAAGGCATAGACATGTCTATCAGGCAGTGCATTCATCTGATTTGGACACACGCAGGATCACTAGGCCATTGACTTTCGTGTTATCAAATAGTATCATTAGGTCAGAAACACGGACATGTTGGCACCAGTCTGAGACACAGCTTCCAGCGAACCATCAGGGGTATCCCTTTGACTGGTTGCCTCATGTTTCAGATTAAACATAGATAAAAGCGGGTCTCCCATTTTACCAAACCCATCTTCTGTTTTTCACTTGCCTGTTCCCTCTTTATAATATTGACTTAGACAGACCTGGTACAATCATTCACCTCTCCCTCCAGTCCTGTCACCCACCCCAGCAGCTCCCCAGTTCCGTCTCTGGGTTTTATAATCTCTCTAAATTATAAGCCCCAGTTGCCACCAATCTGTTTCCAGGCCATTTGCTTTACAGTAAGTGACTGCAAAACCCTCCTTGCTGACCCCCGCTCTATCGCATGCCAATCTATCTATCCTACAAACTGTTGCTAAATCAGGCTTTGGTGTTATTGACCACTCTGTTTCAAAGTGTTCCATGTCTTACAGTTGCCAACAAAATCACAGGGACTTGTATCAGCCTTGAAGTTTCTTGATAATATGACTTCCATGCCACCTTCCCATCCTGTTTCCTGCTGCAGGCCTAGACAGACTCTGACCTGTCATGGTGGTTTCCTATCATCCTATTCACTCTGCTTCCAACCTATACTATTCTACCTCCCGCCTTCTCTCAAAAGCACCCTTGCCTCTCTACTAGTTTCTATTACTCAATAGGAACAAATTGGCTCCCACCTGCACCCTGCACATTTCTTGCCTCAGAGTGAAGATTAACTAAGCATGCATTGTTGCTCACAACTGTGCACCTAGAACACTGACCTCATATGTGCACTACAATAAAGAACTGAATGTTGGTTTGTAAGCATTATGGAAGATGGCTTCTCCTTCATATATTATCTATTATGACTGGCATATCCTGAGACCTGAGTCCTAGCTGGGAGATGGCTAAGTCAACGCCCATAGTGAAGACAAGCAAGACGGCCATCATACTATTGACTAGTGACAAAAGCTCAGGAACATCCTTCCTGGACCTCTGTTCTGGGTCCAAGTTGTTGTTTGCTCCTTGCCCAGCTTGTCATTGAAGACCTTAGAAAACCAAGTTTTGATCTAGGACAAAAACTAAGGGCCACAGGATCCTGCCATAGGATCCTAGATTTTCAAAATCTTGCTCCTTGGCATGGAAATGCAAGAATTGCTTTATGGTGTTTGGTCTTTTAATATCTCTAAGCTCAAAACAATTCAACAGGGAAGTAGTCAAATCCCAACAGTTAAAGAAACTTCTATTTCAATTTTCTTACAAACGTTACTCTGTGTTCTTATACTATCTTTCAACATATATAGTTGTGGTGGAAAAACATAAGGTTATATCAAAAGTGTATACATGCCATATTTAAAATGGTTACAATTTCCACAGAACTGTGCTAACAGTTTTGGTTGCTTGCCACCAAGTCAACAATAGTGATTCATACATCCCTTCACTACTTCCCATATTCTGAACATTGAGAGTTGGCTCAAAAAAATAAGCCAAAGATGACAGCAACATTCATTTTTATTTGAGTTTTTAATGTGGTGGATTTTGCTATTATGAGATCCCTCAAGCCCTGCTGGGTGGTGTTCAGGAGTTGCCAATTAGTGTGGCTGTGGAACCCATCCAAAATTTCCACATACACTTTTTGTCCAAGAGCTGTATTTTCTAGGACACCAGTCTAAAAAACATGTAACATTAAAACATTTCCCAGGGCATGCTCATCATTTCAAAACCTACCTTGGAAATTGGAAATACTAGCCAGCTTGATGATAAAGCATCAACAATAATTTGATCATATACCCTTACTCTGAATTTTCAAGGAAGGAACATATTGAGGTGAAGAACATTTTAGCTTTTTAAAAAAGATTTGTTTATTTTATGTATATGGATACTCTATTTGCACATACACCTTTATGCCAGAAGAGGGCATCAGATCCCACTAGAGATGGTTGTGAGCCACCATGTGGTTGCTGGGAATTAAACTCAGGACCTCCAGAAGAGCATTCAGTCCTCTTAACTGCTGAGCCATCTCTCCAGCCCCAATCTCTCTCTCTCTCTCTCTCTTCTCTCTCTCTCTCTCTCTCTCTCTCTCTCTCTCTCTCTCTCTCTCTCTCTCTCTCTCTCTCTCTGTATTTCCAAGCAACAAGAATGCTACATATTTCCCAAGCAAATATCCATGATTTTATTAAATCATATCATGATTACAGATTTTCCAAACTTTTCCTAACTTTTCATCAGAAAGAGATCACTGATTAGACAGTGATTTCCAAAGACTGAACAGAGTCCATTGATGTAAGCACCTGGTTAGGGTCTGGAAACGTCAGACTACGGTGATGCTGGGGTCAGTTTGGAGAGAGGTTGAGCAGTTTCGCCAAAGGCACCACAATGAAAAGCGGTGCACAGGGATGGTCTTGGGCTGCTCCAGTTAGTAGCCAATAACCTGATTCCTCCTCTTCCACAAGCCAATGATTGGATAGTTTCCCCTCCATCAGAAATTGTTTGCACAAATAAGTCACTGAGGAATGTGAAGTGTATTTTTCCTGTGCTAAATGCATCCATTTTTAAGTACATCTGTACCAATTGATAGTTTTACGTTTCTTTAATTAGATAATTGTGACACATAACACTTGTGATTAGAATTTCAAATACCTGAGGAACATAAAGTGACAATAGTGTGTAAAGGCAGCAGTAGAAATAACTGCTCACCTTCACGTGCAAGTCAAGGAGCAGTTTATTCAAGGGAGTAAAGCAGGACTCTGATATTGTTCATTTTTATCACTACTGTGGTGTACGTGGGAGAGAGGGTCATTTTTTAATAAGTGAGTTAATAAACTTTTCATAGTTATTTATCAAGTTATTGTAGTGCAATCTCTGCTATGTATTTCAAATCCCATAACTTCTTTATTTCTTAATTTCAGAAGGTCAGCAACATAATGGAGCTGAGAATTTTTCTCTGCTACCAAATCCCCAGAGCTGAGGCCTTAAACTAGATCACTTTCTCTTTAACTCACTGCAAAGTACAAATTACTAATCAACAAAAAAGAAATCCCAGTTGCATAATCTTTTTACATTAATTTCCCTGGCTGTACCCTGTGCTCAATAGTCTGAAGAAAATTTCTCTTAGTGTTACATTTTTCCTAGAAATTTACAGCAGATGTAAGTCCCCAGGCAATGTTTAGGATAATAAATGAGAGTGTCAGGGTGAGGGATACCTAGATCATTCCACGATCCTTCAATCAAAATGCAATTAATACTGAATTCTATGCTTGATAAAATATACACAGTTGAATCGGCAAATAAACACACAGAAGAAAGGAGTCGTTCTTACATAGTGTGTTTTGTATGATAACAGTATTCTTCACAGGCAAGAACACAGCGCATAGCTTATACTTTCTAAATTCTTATTTTCCAACACACTCCATTCTGTACGTTATTCTCAGAATAACATTGTGCTGGTTAATATTAGCTGTCAACTTGACACAACCTAAGCTGACCTAGGAAAAGAATCTTAATGAGGAATTATCTAGATCAGGTTGGCCTGTAGGCGTGTCAGCAGGGGAATGTCTTGACTGTTAATTGAGCTGGGGAGACCCACCCTAAATGTTTCACAGTTTCCCGTTTCACAGTTGGAGCCTGACCTGCAGAAGAATAAAGGAAGCAAGCTGAGTAGGAGCAGCAGCAGGCAGCTGAGTTCATCGAGTCTCTCTATTCTTGGCGATTCATATGATATGATTGGCTGTCTCCTGATCTCCGGTTTCAATGACTTCTCTGCAATTATGAACTGTAGCCTGGAACTGGGAGCCACATAAACCCTTTTCTCCACTAAATTCCTTTTGCTCCGCGTGTCTGGTCCCATCAACAGAGAGGAAAGCAGGACAAACATATGATTATTGGTCTTTCTACTTTTTCTTATCATTGGTAAAGATTTGCTAACTAGCCCATTTCCACAGCTGATAAACCCAAGAGCCAGTTGGAACTCATTAAACTATACTACTCAACGGAGCACACATTTGTGACCTCTGACCGTTTTTAACTTCATTTCAAGAACTAAAGCCTTATTGATTTAATGAAGAGCTAGGGCCTCGATCGCAAACACACCAATACACTGAAGTTGCTATGCGCCCTTCTGTTTTCTTTCTCCTCTCCGATTTTCACTTTCAACAGATTTCTGCTTTGCAATCAGAAGCCAGATTGAGGAAGGATTGCTCTGTGGCCTCATCTCTGTGAGGGCACAAATCTTAACTAAATCAAAAATAATAATTTGCCTCAAGAGTAACTGTGAACAGTAGAACAAATTAGTACAGTATGTCTACATTTCTGCTTCAAATGGGCGCCAGCCGAGGCTGAGACTCTGCTGCACTCTGTGGATCGTGCAGAGGCTGGCACTCCCACGTGGGTTTTGAATAGTCACTGTGTGACATTTTTTTTCCCATGAAATTATAGTGAAAACAGCTACTGGTAGGAAAAAAAAAAACAAAACAAAACAAAAACTCTTACCATGTGTGTTTTGAAGAGATGACCATAAAAGCCAGAAGACCATGATTTAGAGAGTAACCACTTATGGTCAGTGTGTTTGTGTTTGTTAATGGAAGACAGTAATAAAGGGAACACCCAAAACAGGAAATTTTTCAAATTAATGCTCACATTCATACAATTGTCTCCTTTCGATTTAACTTAGTAAGTCATAAGAACAGCTAGCAATCTCCTAAAAAGAAACCACTTAACTCATTAGAATTTCTTATTTTATGTAACACTGAAACTTGAAACAGCTTTGAAAGTAATTTCCCAGGGCTTACCAGCCCAGTGCTTTTTACAGCCTCACTCTCTTTTGGAGAAGTATATAAATATTAATATACCTTTAACTATTTACCAGGCAAGGCATAAGCCATCCTTTTGGTGGTGTCCATGGGATGAAGAGCATGCAATCTCGGGTAATGAAGCTAAGCGATTGTCTTTCTACAGTATGACAGCCTACCCTGAAGCAGCAGCCCCACAGACAGGCATTCTTGGCATACGCAATGACATTGGAAGGGAGTGACAGATCCAGGATCCAAATCCAAGTCTGATTCTAACTCTTACACTATCCCATCTTCCAAGAAACATGGTTTCTTGACTGTTTAAAGGAAGGTTTCAATCTCTAAAAAGTCCACGCACTGACAAGCAAAGCCTTTGTGGTCATTTGCCAAGGTAAGACTTGTTTTTAAACTAAGAGATACATGGACTGGTCCACTAAATGCCTGAAGTTGCAGAACTACAAAGAACTAGACCTGTCCAGAATGGCCTTAGTCTCAAGCCAAGGCACATAGCACCTCTGACTGCTGATAGAGAACAGCCACACCTCTGCTCCCCTGCATGTCCCTCTCTTCTCTCTGGTCACCCAGCACCTAGCCTACTTAAAGAGTTGTCCATGGCTCCCCAATTTGCTTTCACGTTCCCACCTGTTCTGTGTTTGGGTCACCTAAGCACTGTTTCTACAGTTTTGCTCTTCCCCTGCCACCAGCACCATTCTACCTGGGGCGGTTAGCACCAACAGCCACTGTCTGAGGTCACTAACAGTCCCTCAGATATACTTAGCCATACATGAGCACCCTCCCTCCCTCCCCACAACCAGGGCCTCAGTCTCTTGTTAGTGGAAGCATCTCGTGGTCTATCTCTGCCTCCCTGGTAACAATGTGGGAAGGCTGGTACACCTTGGAATAAATGTGAGCCAGTGTGCACAGCAGGCAGGCAGGAAGGGGAAATATATACGTTGTTCAGCAAGATTGTCCCAAGCAAACTGACTTCCCAAGCAAGGTTCTTTCAGTGACCCAGCTCTGAGCCAGCTTTCCTCAGGGAGCCTCATCCTCTGCCTCCTTCCCCTCCCCCTCTGCAGCCGCATCCTCACACTCTTCCCCCAACAAAAGCACTAGAGAGTTGCCTCATCTCTGCTCTCTAGGGATCTTGTGCTAAGGCAGCCACACACTTTCCACAAGTTCTCTGCAGCCTGTTGTCTCTGGATCATATCTCTTCTTTTAAAAAAAAAGTTTTCAGAATATTAGCACTTCTGAAACATCCTTCTCTTCAGATTATTTTCAGGTACTCCTAACCCAAAGACAAGATTAGGAATGGAAATTTGATTCAAGACTAGCTTAAACAAGCACTTGTCCTCGCCATCACATTTTCAGATTCATTCATATGTACAAGCATCACTGTTCCCAGCTTTCCCTTAGCTTAAATTTCCTTCATGATACAGAACGTTACATATTCATCAAGGTTTATGTAAGTTAAATTATCTCATTGGTTATAATTGATCTAATCATCTTCATAATGCAGCCAGCAGATACCAACACATATGCCTGCTAATGTTCTCCTAAATCCACCATGAGGATTCTGGAAAACTAGGGCATCAGGACAGAGGGAAGGGAATTAGAAAGACGGGCTGGCAGAACAGAGCATCCATAGCAACCACTTCACGTTCTACTTGACACGGGAACAGGACTCCCTTTCACAAACCAGTCAGAAGCTTCAATTTCTTCACTCCTCATAACTAGGTGCCTATTTTTTAAGTCTTCTGTAAACCATTTTTCAAAAGTAAACTCATCACAAGTCAATTTGAGATCTCATGAAATCAATTGCTCCCTGCCATTTGGAATATTTCACTGGCCAAGACCTTCCTGATCTCGTAACAGCTGAGACAAAGAAGCAGGGACTCTGGGAGTTTCCGGGCCTGGCAGAGGAGAGCCTCACCTGAGGCACAGCGCTAAGCAGTGCTAACCACTGAAGGCCTCTGCTGATGTGCAGTTGTTCAGTCATCCCATGAACAGAACCAAAATTTAACTCCAGAAGTAACAACAAGACTGTGGGCCGGGCTGCAGTGGAAATCTGAGAATAGCTAGATGATGATCTGCTTGGTGTGACTCACAGGGAACCCATCTGGGCATAACATTTTAGGAAGATAAATCAGAAATTGTGGCCAATTTGAAATTTCACAGCCACTCACTATAAGCATTTAGTTAATCTTCAGTCATTTATAACTCCTATATTATTTCCAAAAGACTCTTGGTGTCAGTTATGCACACTAAGAGAAAGCCTTAGTTTAACAACTAATTTTTCTAAAGCTTTAAATTTTTCACTGTAGACACTGCTTCCATTAAAACAGAATTCCTGACTGTTTTCTGTACTTTGTATCACTTTCTTTTCTCGTTCACCTAATTTTATCCAGTCTCCATTGCTCTCATTCTCAGTCCATTCATTTGTCTTGACAGGAGAACTATTTAACCTCTTGGTCCTGGAATAGCTGATGAGTGGTACCATATAATGCACTCCTCCAAAATTTCCCCATGACCCTGAACCTGGAAGCTGGCCTTCACTGGGTTTAAGGCTTACTGACACACATAATGCAACTTGACACTTGGGACTCCTTGGCAGCTCATATGACTGATTCCTGGCTTTCCTGTCCTCTGGAATTTCCAGAAGGAATTTTGCTAAGTGTCTTGATTGGAAAGAGAATGGTTTCATCACACAGATGTAGAAGGCTGTTTCTGAAACAATCATGATATTGTATGTTTGATTTGCTTCTGACTTTCCAAAATGCTTTCACATGTAGCCTCTAAATAAGTGTCTAGTTTGATGTGGGAAAATGAAGGGAGGCCAGAGTAAAAGAATAAAAGAAGAGAAACATTCGACCTTCAGGGGAGATTCTTTAGTAGACTATGTGGGTGGACAATTTACTCACCACAAGGGAGCATAAGCAGAGCTACAGCACCACGAAACCTGGTGGACAAAGAGGGACCACTTAACTTGTGGAGAGAGAACTATGGGAAATGGCTTGCCAGTGTGGGGCATGTGCTGAGAACTCCATTTCTGTTCTTCTCTGTTCTGTGGTTCATGGACTAATCCAGGTATTTGAAGTACGGTCTCTTGTCCCCAGCAAGGCAGTGTTTGGGTCCCGGCTCTGTCACTTACAAGTTGTTTGCCTCAGAAAAGTTACATGTGTCCAAGACTATTTGTTCAGCTCTAAGATGAGCATGAGACTAATGAGACCAATGGTGTAAAGTTCTTATAATAACTGCATGCAAATTGCTTGCCATGGTGCTTAGGGTATCTTGACAGGACTGTGTGCATGCAAGGGTTAAGCACAGTGCTTAGGGTGTAGTAATGGCAGCAACTGAAACACAGCAAATACAATTGTTCACTATTCTCACCTTTCCTAAACGAGCTAAGGGGAAGAATGTCTAAGCTATAGTCATAACCAACAGGGAAAAAAAAACTCATCCTGGGCAATAATTCTCTTCGTTGAGTTTTATCAGTTTTTCCTACACTGTCGACTACTGTCTTTCCTTTTTATAGACATGAGAAGAACCCATTAAATTAATTAGGTCTTTCTGAGGTATATATGTGCGACCAAGCCTTCATTTGCAGTCCTACCCCTCATGAGCCATGTCTTCTCCTATGGGAATCTAGGGAGAATCAAGACCACCTAGACTCGGGTCTTCATTATATGGGCAATCATTGCTCGTCCCATACTCACAACACCTCTGATGTTTTTATTGGAGAATGTAGTGCTCCATAGGGTTGTTTCCCTGCCCTCCATCACTTGAAGCCTCACTGAACCCTTTCTTTTGAAGGCTTTTGTTACAATTTCAGTGTTAATCATAGTCCTGCTTACAAAACCTTGAGAATTTCCTCATCTAGAAAGGTTGCTATTTGGGAGGCAGAGAGCACCGAACACAATGTCATGTCCTGTGTTCATTAGCTAGAGATACATGGACAGAATCATGGCCTTTATTTGTCCTTAAATGATGTATTTATAAGGAAAATAAAGGAATAAAACTTACTCTGAACTTATCTCATTAAAATCATCCAATCTCTGGAGGAACTTCACATTTCTTCATCCTCCAGACAGATGTGTTACCTCAGTCTGTTGACTTGCTGTCATCCATGGCCAAATTGCTCTGTATTTCGAGACAAGGATGCTTAGAAAACATTGTGTAAAGTGAGATCATGCTCAGCACACACAATTTCTCTCCCTGAAATTGAATGCAATTGCATAAAATGAAGTGCCAGATGTAGGGTTAGGATTAAATCTTCACTTATAATTAAAAATATGAATAATCCCACTCTGGGTGTAAGAAGGTGGCAATTAAGTATGCCCAAAATCAAAAATGCTAATCCTTTTGAAACAAAGTCTGCCTTATAAATTAATATTCATAATTTTAGTGGGCACAATGTCAGGAGCTAGACAACGTCAGGGCCTTAAACGCTGTACTTTATTAAAACTTGTTTACTATGTATTTCTCAAAGATCATTTCAAACATTCATTCTCATGAGACCCAACAGCTGCACACACAAGAACACTACTATTCGCTCCCTGTCTATGCTAAATGGAATGGAGACAACGAAAACAAAGACATTTGCATGGACTACGGGCACCAGTGTTGGACAGGATGTAGAATTTGCCTCATTCAGTAAGTTCTGGATCCCATCCTCAACACAGGGAAAAATAGCATTAAAGGCCAAACCAAGTATTCATCTTCTCTAAGGGAAATTCCTACTGCATACAAATGGAAACACCCTTTGTAGGATCAATCTGCCTGTTCCACGTGTCAGTCTCCAGGCCATAGCAAACTGCCTTCCAGAGGAGGAATTCTACCCATGGAACTCAGGCCTGGCCCCCTCCTGTGTGCCTACACAATGATCACGCAACTTTGACATGTATGTAAATCCCCAGGATTGTGTTAAAAGACATTCTGAGGTTAGGTATGTCTGGGACAGACTTGCATTCCTCATGCATCTCTAGTCATCAGCCAGGTGGTGCTGATGCTGCAGGTAGATAGAAGAAGCTTTAGCAGTCAAGACGGTGATGGCATGCAGAAAGGCCTCTTAACTAAGCCCCCATCTCGAGGTACATACCTGCGGATTTATGTGGGCCCTTCTCTTTGTGGACTACGAATAGGATTGAGCCTTCACAGACTTGGCTCCTGTAATTTCGATTTGCACAAAACACACTCAAAATAGCTCACTTCACCCACAAGCACCCCTCAGTCTCCTAACTAGCTTCAAGACTATGGACTCTATCACCGCTGTAGAGGGAAATGCTTTTGAAATGGAATTGAATATGGGGAGCAGTGGGGTGTGTCAGTGAAGCAGTAAGGCTTCCCCTCTTCTCCTTCTCTCTCATTAGTCACTGAAGGTTTTTTGAGAATTAAAAAAAAAAAGACTGGAAATAAAACTCCCAGGTGTTATTGTCTCAGCCATTTGCTTCTTTTATGCCCCTTAGCATGCAGAATGTCCTAAGCCTCAGTCTCTCCAAACATGAAATAGGATTTTCCACTCAACTCTGTTAAGATTTGTAGTCTCCAGTGAAGCCTGCTTTGGGAAGATGCTATAAGAGATGTGGAGCATTCCTTTGATTACAGATCTCATCTGCACCAAAACCAGACACGTTTTCAACAGGAGGACTGACTGTTCTCCAGACTTACTTCCCTCTAATGAGGTATGGAACTTTAGACCATAATGTCTACAGCTTAAAGTGTAG